AGTCTGTCGGTCTCCCTTTGCCTGGTCCCTGCCAAAATGTGTAGTGGCAAAAAGGCCTGAATGTGGATCGGTAATGGAAGCTGAGGCAAAGCAGGGAACTGCACAGCTTCGGCTGAGCTGTGCAATCCTGTGAAAGTCACATAATGTCCCTGGGTTGTCTGTGGAGCTCTGGAGGGTTGGTGGGAGAGTGGTGATCAGGGAGAGGTGATTCATGGGCACATTGGAGTGAAAGAGGGCAGAGGTCCCCTGGGACTGGCACTGTCAGCAGGTGTGGCAGGGCTGCCAGCTGCCTGGCCCCCTCTCTTCCCCCTGGGCCATGTCCATCCAGCCCTGACCTTCCCAGGACCATGGGGCTGGCAGAGCCGTGGACCAGAACCCTTGGGAGCCATGGGGGACCATGAAGCCCTCCAACATTTGCCTCCCCACCTCTAGGAGGATGTGGCCATGGAGCAGGGCTTTGCCACATCAGAACTGTGGAGCGTGGTGTGGCATTGTGTTGCTGTGGTGCTTCGTGTGGGCAGCGACAGGGCAGAGCTGGAGGAAGACCCCCCAGGGGCAGGTCACCCTGCAGAAGAGCCGGACTGGAACCTCCTCTCCCCTCAAGGTAGGAGCTGTGGGACGGCAGGGCATCTGCTCTGGACCCTGCTCCACATCCTGCCCTCAGACTGTCCTCGTCCACATCTGGTCCCTGAGGCCAGAGGGCTCGGAGGGCTTTTCTTGTGGATTGCTGTTGTCCTCTGGGGACAGAGAGCTGGGCTGGCTCATGGTGTGGCCAGTTGGCAGCAGCTCAGCTGAGCAGGCTGTGGAGGAAAAAGAAAGGGTGTCTGTGCTGCAGTGGACGTCCACCCTGGCAGGTGTGACCACCATAGGTGGAGATTGGTCTGGTTTTGGGCAGGGAAGCACAGAAGCAACCCTGGAGCAGCCTTGAGGCAGTACAGGCAGACAGAAGAGAGCAGACTTTTCAGCCTTCCCTAGCTTTGCTCCTCTGCCATGCTGTTCCCCCCCTGCAGGCACCCTGCTCTTCCTCAGCCTGGCCCTCTTCATCTTCACTCGTGAGTCCCACCGATGCCTGCCTCAGTTCACCCAGTCCCATGGTGTCCTCATGGTGACACTGAAGAGGCTGCTGTCCCCTGACTTCCTGGCATGTCTGGCACAGACGTGAGTTGTGGGGAGGGCTGAAGCAGAGCACACAGAGGGCCAAGAAGTTCCTGACCTGGCACTTGCAGGGCACAGCTCACCTGCAGAGCCTCTCCTTAGTGCCTGGCATGGGGAATGCTCTCTGCCTCTTGCCCTGATGTTTTTCTGATCACCTCTGTATTAAGCCCTCTCTCTTTAACAAATTCAGGCAAGTGGGAGAGGATGGGGACCCTGAGCTTGTTCCAGCTGTGGTGATCCAGGCCTGCCAGCTCCTCTGTTTCCCTTTTGCCCTGGATGTAGATGGAGATATCTTAGCATTGGTCATGGAGGCTGTGAGAGACACCCAGATCCCTGCCCAGCTGCTGCAGGTACTCTCTTGGTCCTGTATTTCTCTTCCCCCCCATACTGTGGAGATACTTCCCCACATTGCAGCCCCTGATCTGTGACACCACTTCATACCATGCTGGCAGTTTCTGCCTGCACAGGGATGTCGCTTGGGTACCATGCGGCCCTTGGAGAAGCTTGGCTGGCAGCTGAGCTCTGCACTGACCTGGTGGCAGCCTTCAGCTGCTGCTTGACTTGGCCCACAGGTAAGGACAGCGCACTCAGTGCTGCTGTCTTTCCTTTCTCCTTAGGTCTGCTCTTGCCATCTGCCCTTCTCATACACTGAGCTGCCCATGAGCCTCTTGTGCCACCTCGTTGTGTCTGATGAGCAGGTCATAGACCAAATAGTGAGGGAAGCTGCCGCCTCAGAACACGTCATTGCCTTCTTGACATCTGCCTTGTTTTCAGACAACCTCACACTCACAACTGACCTCCTGTCTCTCTTGACCCATGTGGCCCGGGCCTGTCCAGAGCACCTGCCCTTTCTTCAGAGGATCCTGAGGTGCTCAGTCCCAGCCACTGACTCGCCTGCTCGGCCACCAGCAACACCTGATACGGGCCAAAACCTGCAGCCTGGTGGGCAACCTGCTCCGACACAGCCATGCCTTTCCCCAGGCGCTGCAGAGCCAGCCCAGCTTGCTGGAGAGCCTGCTGGGGTGCCTGGCGGACCGGGAGGAGAGCGTCCGCAAGGCAGCCAGCTTCGCAGTGGGCAATGCCGCTTACCACGAGTCCTTCCCGGCTGGGACGCTGGGCAGGGCCGTGCCCCGGCTGACGCGGCTGTTGAGCGACGCACAGGCCAGAACGCGCTGCAATGCGGCCTCAGCCCTGGGCAACCTGGGCAGGCGCTGGGTGGAGCTGGGAGACCTGCTGATCCAGAGCAGGG